GAATGTCAACGTTTATTCTGTATGTACGTCGTGCCGCACGACGCTTTCTATTAGACTCGATCGAAGGACTGGTCCGATATGATTGGCTGTTTAAAGTTTGGCATACTCTGTGATCATTTCTATTGGGTATTCATTGATGATCACTGTAGCTGGCTGTGCGCATTCGTTTCTGATCATCTTTATTTTGCTTGTCTGTAATCCACCCAGTTTGTTCCATAATTCTAGCTTCAGTTTTTTCGCATTCTGCCTCAACAGCGCGATGCCATCAGCAAATCAGCAAAGAAGAGTGATCAGTCTGCTGTGGCATATTACTGCATTGCATTTCATTTTGCAACCGTGACTCTACACAGCAGGTAAACAACTTGGGCGATAAGGCGTCTCCTCGCCGAACTCAAGCATTATCAGCTTGCTCCACCGCGTCAAATGCCTCGCCAGAGTCTACGTAGATCACGTGGATTGGTAATCTGTACTTACTACAGTTTTCGAACAGCTGATTCAACACTTGGAGGAGATCGGGTGTTGAAAATGTTTAGCTAAATCCAGTCTGGTCACCTGATTGTCTTTTGTGCAATTTCTTCTTTGAACGATTTAACAGAGCTTTCGTGAGCAGCTTACGCAAAGGGCATGGCGAACATAATATTCCACAGCGTTTCAAGTCTTCTCGGTGGCGTTTCTTCTGCAAGAGCGCATTGTTCGCGAGAATTTCTAGTCTCTTGGAGTTTCGCTTTTTTAGAGATAACTGGTGAACAGTTATGCCATAATACCAATTCAATGGAACTAATTTTAAGCCAGTTCCTTTCCTCGTGCCAACACATGTTCTCAACCGTTCGTTTGTACCAATTGTGCCCTCTTCTCACCATTTGATGACATTTTTGTATTCAGCATTCAGACTTTTATCGTATGCTATCTATCTATTTTCGAAATTTCTTGACACAGTGCCTCAAGCCCATTTTGCTACTCTTTGTGATTTTGATTTTCTCGTGACAAAGGTTGCTTTCGACTTGGCAACCACTGTTCCAATCAAACAGTGATCGCCACCGATGTGAAATAGTCACCCAATTCATTCCTCATAAGCTAATAATGATGTTAGTACAGATTTGTACCAACATTCATTTCATTCCTTTTTATGACGGTTATTTTGAAGTTTCTTTATCCGGAAGAAGGTTTATGCTTCCGTTGCTATATACTAGACTACGATTCTCGAAATCATAAACCTGCTTCTCCAGTGTTTGATCTGAATGTGTTACAGCACACTTATTCTACGCAGTTATCGTCCTCTCATTAGGACAATCACCTCTTAACCATGTTCTACTGAGGAATAAATCTATGGTGCACCACTGAGATAGTTACAGCTTTCAATTATTGGGGGGACAACGTGTTTCCTGAGCCCCGATTGATGAAGCTGCAAATAAAATTGCAGAAACGGTTGCTTGCATCGAAACCTCCACACCCAACTGCATATTCGCTGATCCAAAATAAATGGAAATTTTTAAATTTACTTATCAAAAACTAAGAAAACCTTCTAATTTAAGAGATCAAAATATTGCTTATAATATGCAGCTAAACTCTTTTTTTGTTCTTAGTTGCCCCAGTAGCTGTTGGACTGGTCGAACTCGCCCGGATTCAACTCACCTTCAGCATCGTTCTTCGCAAGAGACCGAGAACGTTGTATTTATCCATGACTGCAGATTGTTTCGCAGAAATCTTTATTCAGCTCTTTATTGCGCATCCTGGTGACAGGGTACGTTCGTTTGTACATGTGAAACCTACTATGCGTTGAGCAGATTTTCAAAACATTGCGAATTATGACAACTGTTATGTTTCGTCGGTGGTTCTTCGTTTGGGTGTTTTGCAAAGTCGGTTGATTTCCCGTTGCTTTTATATTCACTTCTAAGCTCATGAAATTAAAATAGTTTGCCTCTGTTAATGTAGTTGTGATGATTGAAATATATGTACGATTTCGTATTTACAATCAGTCCTATGAGTCCTGCATCAGCTCGTCATGTGACTTTGTTTCTACCATATATTGGATTTTCTTAACAACAGAGTAAAAAACTTCAGCTAATCAGCTGAAAGTTACCCAAACTTTCTTCCTGCTTAAAGGGATGTCGAATCTGCGAAACTCGACACACCGCTTTCTTATAATATTATATACATAACTGAAAATTATTACAGTACTACTCTCATGATAATTTTAAGAGCATAAGTCTACATCTCTTCCTAGGGCGATGCGCACATGAGAAAGAATGGAAACACCACGATTTAAGGCAAACCGACGCACGGTCAAGAAATCATGGCGAAAAGACATGGCGCTTATCTCTCTACAAAAGACCTTGTATAATTCAGCAGTTTTCGACCAAGAATCTTTCTTTCAGTCAAGACTGTTATCTCGTAGGTTTAAGTCCATATCGTTTCGAAAATTGCCATTTGGTATAGGACATGTGCGTAGAAAGAAAATCCAGCAATTAACTATGATAGTTACCTTCTTGCATATCAGTGTTCCCCTTCAGGGTGAAATGTTGATCTACACTGAGACAGCTGTGGTCTAGTTGAGTTGCTAAATGACTTTTTGTATAGTCTTGAATTAACAAAGAATTCTGGCAAAGCTATTAAAGAGTATCTGCAATGGAAATCGTCGAACGCCGTCTTTAGTTTGACACCTGTTGGACCCCTCTTCACCCTCATGTCATTGAAACGCGTGAGTCTGTTAATGTGGTAACTGAGGCCAGGAGTACATTCAGTGCGATGTTGATTCGTCCTATTTCTACAGATGAGCTCTTATAAGAGTAAGATGATCAGAGAAAACCCAGTTTCGAGTTTTTACTTCAGTTGCAAATAAAAAGATTTCGGTAATTCAAAATGGAGGACTTCAAGCATCAAATAACGTAAACTGAAAATGGGCGCTGAAAGAATAAAAATAAACAACGATAAAACAATGATTAATGTAGCAGAGGTTCATAATCGATATAACGTTCGATAACGGCATACAATGAAGGACAGATGATTAAGTTATATGAGACCTCGCAACGGCTTCCAGCTCTCTTCCTTTCTCAGAACTTGTAGCGGCAACGGCGGAGCTAATCACCAATTTGTTTTATTTGACATTGCTTTTCTGAAAAGGATCAAGCTTAACGTACAATGTTTGGAGATTTTATAGGCTTTAATGTCAATTTCCATGCGAGGTAATTTCGTAAAGGAATTTTGGAATCCTGATTTGACTTGTGGGCAAACAAAATAAACGTCAAGAATTATTAAAGGTATTATTTTGGTTTAATTTGTTGCATGCTCACCTCACGATGGAACAATGACTACAGCCGCTTCATGTTGCAGTTTGCACGTACTGATCTTGAATTCGAATTCGTTTGAATTCGGCCCTTGCCGTAATTGTTCACTTATCTCTCTATATGGAACTAAACGCCCATATGTCAGAGAAGAAAATTTCGATTTACGCTTCATTTTTAATTAATAATTAATCAGAAACGTCAAGTTATGCTATCAGATCGATGCTGTGTTACGATTAACGCACATTGCACGTGAAGTTCCTGATGGATTACTGCGTCTGGCAGTGAATGCATTCTTATTATTCGAGTATTCGGAACATGACTATCAGCACAAAAAACCTTTTACCGCTGACCTCGTTATTAACACAGTAATCAGCCGGTTCGGGATTTGCGCCTGATTCGCAGTCTTTTACAGTTGTCTCGCCTGAAGAGCGTTTACTTTTATAATTATGAGTTTGCGCCTGTAGAATAACAAGGCATCACAGTCATTTCTAAAGGTAAATATACGCTGCATTAGGACAAGACCGGCAGTGATGCAGATCACCATGTGACAGATCACACAACAAGAACTGAGATGAAACTGTCACAAATAAAAGAAACGCAACAAATACAAACACAAGGTACAAGATACTCTAAAAGATGTACAAGAATCTGTTTACTGCCTACTGTAAAAGTGATAGTCAAGTGTTAAGTACTCCCAACGCAATTCAGCCAAAATTGAATTTACCAATCTTATCATTTCTTTCCAGGACTTTTAGAAAACTTAAGTGCCAAAAAGGCATAGCTCCTAGAAGATCAGAATTAACGGCCCATGGCCATATAGCACCGGATACGATCTTATACTCATAAACTGAAGGGGAGGGTGGCGCGAAAGCGATGCCGATTAAAACGGTATTTTAGGCAGCTGGCAACAAGACATTGGAGTAGCTTCGCCGTGTAAATCCGGTTAAGAGATACACTATTTAATCGAAATTGTTGGCCCAATCGCCTTTAGGGACATGTTTAGCATGAGGATTATCTTTCCAACGGTTTTGCTATCGTTGGACAGGTATAACTGACAGAATCTAAGCACGCTTTCTAGACAGCCATTTGACTGAAACGTTGCGAAGAAGACAGGGACAATTCAGATACGATGCTATGACGAGTTTAAGCTATACGGATTAGCATATACATGTTTGACGTTATAAGTAATCGCATAATCGCTTGCGCAGCACATCAGCGAATGCCGACCTCTGTCCACAAGACATTTGTTCGGTATGCGCCAAGACTATGACAAAGAGTGTGTGCCTTGAAGAAAGTTTTATTTGAAGTACCCGTTAAAATTCAGTCTATACAAATAACTGCAGTATAAACTACTTCAAACTAATAATGCTGGAAGTTAGGCCCAGCTTTAACTTTAACTAATCGCTGGCAGCCCGTTGCGCTGCCCGAAACCTTCTTGCACAGAACTCCAACTTAACACATTAAACAGAATAAGAACAATAGAAATAAACACAAAAAATCGTTGCACATTTGCTAGGCCATTGCCATTTATAACATCTGCAAAGAAGGAATGCAATTTACAATGACCAGTTAAACTCGAACCAGCCAGCTGAGAAACCGTACTGGAAGACAACAGCGGAAAACGAAAAAAACTGAACACATGTTGGCATGGTAAAAAAAAACTGACAGGGAGGGGGAGGGTCGGCTACCGTCGAACGGAGCAGAACTGCAATCCGGCTATGCATTCATCAGCATCTGGCGCAGCTTCTCCGTCTCGGCCTTTAAAGCGGCGACTTCGACGCGAAGGCGCATATTCTCTTGTTCAAGTACGGCAGCCCTGACGGCAATTTCGTCTTCCTTCGCTCGCCTGGCATCCCGTGACCGTTTGGCCGCTTCGTTGTTCTTGCGACGCCGTTCCCAATAGGCCTCATCCTTCAGCATATCCGGCAGAATCCTTCCTTTTCTTCGGCCTGCATTGGCGCTCGATATATTCGTGCCTACAGTTGCTGACACGTCGGAGGTCTGTGGTGCCGTGTCCGCCCTGCAGCCACCGTCCGAACTTGCTCCGGAGTAGCTGCTATGACGGGAAGGGGGACTTACATGTTCCGTGTGAGGATGAGAGGTAGATGTAACTTCAGGAGGAGAAGGCGTGTTATTCTGAGTCCCTGCAGGCAAACGGAATCCCTCAACCGCCTCGTCGGTTGACGCCGGCAGCGAGGAGGCGCGCGATGACGATCGACTGTCAGCATTGGACGATTCGGCACTTTTCGTTCTGTGAACGACGGTGAACCCGCGACTGGAATTTTGTGAATTTGACACATAGCGCCTGTACTGCTGGAGCAGCTGCTCCGTGAAAATAGCAGGTGTCAATCCAGAGATCAGCTTTGGAGATAAATGCGAACCGTTCATCGACCCGGGTACACTATTTACCTAAAGAAGTGCAAGCTGAACACATCATCAACCTCTGCCTCGTTTTAACACTTCCCCTCTGTGAACCAGCTACTGCCGTACATAACCGCAGCAGCTGTCCAATCAAAATCAATCAAGAAGCGAGCAAAACCAATAAAATTACGAACTCACCGTAATCAGGTGTAGATTTTTGAGCCGTTTGCACCGCACTTCTTAACGGACCAGGCCCGTATTACCATTTAAAAGGAGACGGTAATCATTGAAGGCTAAGCTGAAAGCTGCAGAAGCCTGAATACAAGCAAAAAGGCGCTAGAGTTCCCGGAAAAGTTGTCGGTCGATACTCGTCCAAAATAAATTGCTAAAGCCCTTGGTCGCTGATGAGAAAAGAAAGTTTGGGACAAAAAACACTCAGTTTAGTCGGCAGTAAACAATCTTCCATTCCTTATCGTGGTAACCGAGCATCAGGTGTCGAAATGTGGTCACCAATTTAAAAAAACCACCTGACAACTTTACTCATACCAAATCATTCTGAGTCAATCACAACAAACTGGAGACGAATGTTTAAGCCTCAGGTATGCTTGAAGTACGGTAGACTAATACCGCTACCGTTTTACACTGATGATCAAAACTTACACAAACAATTGTCGAGAACAATTCTTTGGCTATTCCGTTGTAATTCTGAAAGCGAAATGCCATAAAACTGGATTTCATGACCCTGTCTTACAGACTCCTTGCTAGACGGATGCTAGAATACTTTTTATTGCCGAAATACGTGTGCAGTGCAGGAATGCAGTTAGCAGCAATTAGATGCAATGTCTCAATCGTCAGCAGCGGCCTTTCAAAAGCCGTGTAAACTAATTCTCACAACTATGCATTTTTCTTAGCTAAGTTCAAGATGTTCAGGGTTGCAATTTTTAATCAATAGATACAGTTATATACACGTTCATGGTTGCCGCAGTTCCTCAACAGAGAAGAAGTCAGCATTCGAACTCTCATTTGAAACAAGTAGAGGAAAACGCAATTTGCAATTTCATTCTTTGCGAATCAGAGACAAAACCGCTATCATGCATAATTCGTAACTGTGCAAGAGATTGAAAGGAACCTCCATGAGATGAGGTAGCGCTCAATGGTGTGGCAGAAAAATCGTCGGAGAAGAGACGCTGTGATCCAACTCATCGACGAAACTTAGAGAGGGCCAAGCCTCACAGAACCATAATCTGGAACCCAATTTGGCCGCGATAAACGACAAACGGACGTTCACGTTCCGTCCAAGACGCCTGACAATCGTGGACAGTAGCCAAAACCATTTTTCAAAATCGAATGGAATCGAAAGCACCGACAAACAAGACACAGTCTCCAGCGTGCAACTGGGTTGAGACCACAGCGGCGGTCCGAAGCTATTACTCCTGCAAGGACTGCTAAGAATCTCAGGTGAAAACCACAATCTGGTAGTTGGACAGTTATTCATATGGGAACGTACAATTATGGAACGTTAAATGGAAAGATTCGAATCCATTAATTAGCTCGACCAACAAATATATAAGTTGAGAAAAAAATCTCAAAAGGCGAAAACGAAGGATCGACTATAATGTTCAGTGCATCTAAAGGTCCGCAATGTGTCGGTGGTATTGAAATTTCGCACCCACTAGATGAACACCGCTAATTGAAAGGTGTGAATTGTTCTCGAATCACGTGGGCAACTTTCTACCAAACATTCAGAAAAATTATCGAATAAAAGCATGTAGTACAGTTGTCAAAGAGGTCTGCTTCGAACACTGAAGGTGGGGACTCGATTCTGCTCAAGGGCAATCCTTGTCATATTCGCGAACTCCCTTGGTAAAGGAATTTACCACACATTCCTTCCGACCGGGGTTGCTCAGTCGGCAGATCGTTGAACTCAGAACCGAGAGATTGTGAGTTCAAGTTTCGGCCTTTCGAGGTAGATAACTGAATCCCACTCTATAGAGGAGGACACAGGAAACTATATATACGCCACGCTGGCTACATGGTTGTAGATTCTGCCTTTGAAAAGATAAGGTACTCCTGGCTGATGGCATAGAAGTGGAGATCAGCATCGTACCGCGAGCCGCGTGAAAATAAGGACTCCAAAATGAACCAATCATGAACATGAAGGAAGACCGACATTCCAACGCTGAACAACTTTCGTTTCCTTTTTCTTACAATACAAACCTATGCCCAGCTGGCGGCGGTTTCAAAAGACAAAGTTTAGGACTTTTGCGAACAACTGAAAAAGTAATAACTAAAGTCATGGTGTGGTAGATACAGCGTTCAACATCGATGACTTCAATGTAAGGAAAGTCGACGAGAAACTTATATATAGGGCCATGAAATGCACGAGGTGACAGTCGGGCTTACCAACACAGTTTATTGTAGTGAACAATCACTTTAAAGAAAAACGGATTGAACAGATTACGGAATAAACACAAGAAAAAGAGGCTTTGCAAAATTACGTATTTTAAATCGTTTCCACACCGACGCAATCCTCGCACGATTAGAACAGTAGTTGTCATAGACTGTAAAACCGACAATTTTAGCACTGGGCAATCTAAATCAGAGAAAACGGTGAATTGTGCCTGAGGCATTTTCCCACGAAATTTCAAAAGTGAGAGATATGAGATTCGATGATACTCTGAACGTCAATAGACAGCTTCGTTTCTTTGCATGAAAGAGTGTCCAAAGAAGAGACAACGAACAAAAACGAAAGGACCAGAACGGATTGCACCAACAATAAAGGAGCTGCCACGAAAAAGAACAGAGCTGAGAACTTCTGCGATTCTGGTTGAGTACAGCCTCATATGCAAAATGGCTCAACTGAAAGGGAAAGATTTCGAGCACAAGCGGTCAAGAGAGAAGTGTAAAAAAGTTTAGAAGA